TCAAGAGAACTTTATAAGATTTGATCATTTCACGTTGTAGTTGTGCATAAATGGGGAACATATAGACAGAAAGTTCGATGCTCTTGCGAAGCTGTTGCTTTAATTTTTAGACTTGCTGCTTTAGAAACGTGTTAAAACACAAGTTGAAGAGAAGTGGCCTTAGGCAATCACCTTGGAGTACACCACGACCAACAGATATAAATGGAGTGCGAAATTCTTTGGTAAGAATAGAGGTTTTGAAGTCAGTGTAAAGACTTTTCACCAGTGATTTGATATGATCGGGAATGTGGAGGTAATCAAGAGTGCTTTGAATCATAATAATAATAATAATAATAACAACAACAATAATAAAAATAACAATAACAACAACAACAATAAGAAGAATAATATTATACATACAATCAGGGACAAAAGTAGTTGACACACTTGTTTAAAACGGGTGCTTTTAACAAACATTTAATTCATTTATTTCTTTTTAAACGCCGTAAATCCCCTCACCCTCTGAATCAATGTTGTCTGAAGTAAAAAAAAGACTTGAGGGTCCAAAATTCAACATTGATTTTGGGGGGAAAGGGTTGGGGTAGACAGGGGAAGGAGATAAGTATATTTGTCCCGTATTGTAGATACATACAGAGCATCTCTGATAACTTATTTTACCTTAGAGATCTTAATGAATAATTCTTACGCTATGCAAGTAGAAGACTGCTATAAGTACTTGAACAAAAAAAATTCAAGGTTTCCCTGTCTGAAAGCTTTCTGTTTAATTCCTTCATGTAGGAAAAGAGGCTGCCATCTGCCAACAAAACACATAGAGGATCAGTCGTGTCTAAGTTATGGTTAAGTCATTTGTAAGTCGTAAGTCTACAGGAATTAACCCTTAAAGTCTCAAAAGTGACCAGCTTTTAATTTCTCCAGACAACATTGTTGAATCAAACACAGAGGTAATGAGAATGAATAAAATTACCACCAAAAATGGAATATATTCATGTTTGAACAAATTCTCTCAGGTAGACCTTAAATGTACCTTAAGAAAGTAATACACAGTATGGGGAGGACTGAGTGAAAAGAATATGTATGTTGCTAGAGAGTTAATATTAGCAGTCTAAGTTCAATAAATATTGTTGTATCCTTTACTGATTTGGGTTAAAGAGTTCTTTACTGAATAAAAGCAAAAACAAACTTGCAATCATGACCATTTTCTGGTTCCTTTATCAGCCTCCAGTTAAAAAAGCATTGTAATCAACAGATACATGTAAACTCAAACAACACGAGAAGAACATACCACAAAGTTCCATGAAAATGTGAGTAACAAGGTATGGGTCGTCTTCTAATTTTTCATACACCTTCACTTCCTCTACACTAAAATTTGTCTAGAGTAAAAACAATGAGATAAGTGGAAATAAGAAAAGTTAAGATGTGTAACAGGTACAAATATTGTAATAGAAAAGAAAGCTTTGCTCAGAATAGAAATTAAAAAATAGAAGTCCATTTTGCAAGAACACAGTCAGATTAAAGGGTTCCTTATGGCCATGGCCATTACATAAGTAACTGTAGTTTACCTTTTTTATAGAGAACTCTTCCCTTGAGGCCTGATTGCAAGTACTGGTAAGCCAGGTACACAGTTCCATTTGCACCAGCTTCCAGGCATTGATTCCTTTCAACATGATAATCTTCATGTTCTCTAACCTTTTTGACAGGGGGACGTCTAGGATGCTGAGAAGAGAATTAAGAGAACAGAGCTTTTTTGTATTCACAATGAGCTTGCACAACAGGACTGCTATTGGAGATTCCCCTCTCCTAGCTTACACAAGTTAAGTCCAGGAAAATATCATTGTACACATACAAGTTTAGTTCAACATTGAATGTGAGGTGAGGAGGTAATGAGATAGATAGGCTTGCTTCTTCATGATTGTAGCCTACTGAGTCGACTCCCGATAACTTAAACCGTTCTAAATTTGAAAAATGTTCGAGTTATTGGGAGTTTGAAGCAAATAACCAGAAATAAGAAAAAATTATAAGCAAATGGATGGGAAGGGAATGCAATTAAGCAACAAAATAAACACGAATGGATAAAATGGACACTGAATTTGAAGTGGACTGACAAAAAAGTAAAGACAAAGAACTGATGCAGTTGCTTTGAAATAAATTTAATGTCTCGGACTTCAGTACACGTTTTTTTTTCTCCTGACTTGTCACGTGCTTGTAACATGGTTCGAGTTATCAAGGGTAAAATTATATAGAAATTATCTGAAGGGAAACAAAGATTACTTCGAGCTAGCAGAAGGTTTGAGTTATCTAGGGTTCGATTTAACCAAGGGTAAAATTATAGTAAGTGTATGAAGGATATCCAGGGGAAATCCACTTTGGTTCGAATTAGCGCGAGGTTCGAGTTAGCGAGGGTTGGAGTTATCGGGAGTCAACTGTATTTTCATTAGGAAATGGGAAATTATTCAAGATCTTCAACACAAAGAAAACAACCTCCCTGAAATTCGGTTAATCCCACCAAATTGTGGGTTAATTGTCTGAAAGAAAGGGTAAGAGCACACATTGTTTCTTCATGCAATGCTTTCCTTGGAACTGAATTCAGTCATTCAGAGTTAAGTCATTTGTATATTATAATAAATTACCCAAAATAGAACTGTGCCACAATATGGATTTATGCTAGCCTGCGAGCAAGCTCTCCTATTTGGGCTAGTGAAGTGAGCCTCGCGAGAATGCACGAGCGAGGGGCTGAGGAAAGGAGAGCTTGCAACGATCTCTCATAAAACTTCATTTCCACCCCGGAAACCCCGGGACTCCGCAAAGCGTGAAAACTGTCACCGCAAACGTGCCGCAGATTAGAAAAGTGACAACCGCCTGTCAAGTAACTTTAGACAGCCGAGGGCGCGTAGAATTATATATTTATAAATAGCCTTTGCAACAGCATCAAAGCAATGTTTTTTTAAAGTCGCTGATATGTTTTTTTCTAGGGGGACATCGAACTTCAACGTGTCCGCTCGGATAAGAACTCACTAACTTGATTCTCGTTTCGTTTACTTTTGAAAAGTCATCCGTACTCCAGTGTAGAAGACTAATCCCCATCGCAATCACCAAGAAAAACATCATATATTTGTCCATCTGGAACTGGAGAATAGCGTTTTCCTGCACTTGGTTTAAGTTTTACTCCAGTTGCTTCCAACTCTTCTCTTTACCTTCTTTACGGTCACGCTACACAGCTACCCTGTCAAGTACATGTTTCTGAATTTTTCTACCCAGTAGAATTCAACCGGGCCAAGAAACCGACATTGGAAAACAGAGCTTGAATCACTCTTCACTTTCACTCTCCCAGTTTTCAGAACTAAAAACGCGCTTAACACAAACGAAAACAACTGATGAAGGGTTTTCATTTTCCTCCCACAAGAACTACAAACTCGATCCGACTTATCCTCGGCTCGCAATATTCTCTTTATGAGAATTACATCAAACGAGCCCGTCTGCTTTGAGGGCTGAAACAAGTTCTCGGTACCAATCTGATCCCCCTGAGAACCAAATTTGACACACAGACGAAGCGGATGCCAGCTTACCCTGTTATCAATCAACTTTGATTTCCGGAACGTCATTTTTCAGCCAATGGTATTTCCCTTTGTCTGGGCGAAGTACAAATTAATGAAACTTTATAAGAGATCATTGCAAGCTCTCCTTTCCTCGGCCCCTCGCGGCTTTGCTGCTCGCTTGCACGTTCTGGCGAGACTTGCCTCACTCACCCAAATAGGAGAGCTTGCTCGCAGGCTAGATTTATGCTTGATAAGCCATCATCTGCACTGGTCGATTTCTGGCGTTGACTTTTGTGTTTTCCTGGTGTGAATAAATTGTTTCCTCTACCCAAGCCACATTCACTGTAAGCTAACAGTTTTTTGAGGGGAGCTTTTCCATGCAAAAAGTTCTCCATGACATGTGCATAGTGTACATGTAGTTACCTAGTACTTTCACAGCCTGGAACTTGACATGTTCCTCACATCTGACATGCCTGTGCATGGTGCTGTATACAGTGCAACTGACAACAGGTATGCACTCCATGTTCACTGTCTTGGTTCTTGATGCATTTTAAATGATTTAACTCTGTCTTCACCTGTTGAACAAAATACATGAGAAATGAGAGTTGTAATTACAACAAATTTGATACAAGTATAAAATGACTAGTAAGAGAATCGAAAGTAGGGATTGAAACTTTTCAAAGCTGTAACTAATAACCACAACTTACATCTCTACATTTTTTGTTTTAACAATTTAGATTCCTACAATATGACGCATGCTGCAGGTCTGCAGGGGAAACATCAACCTTAAATGAGAAAATAACAAGAGACAAATATAAGCACTTTCTTGGGACAGCCAATGCTAAATAGTTACAAAAGGTTGAGTTTGATCGTCCGGGTGAACATAGTCCTGAATAGGACTGTTGTTGTTGACAGTGACTGACGTTTCGACAACCTGTGCGGTAGTCATCTTCAGAGTCAAAGTGAGTTGTATCACGTCAGTTGATGGTATTATAGTCTGGTTATTGATCTGATTGGTCAATTATGTCGCGATGTTATCGGCCGTCTGTCAGTTAAGCCGTGATGTTATTGGCTATGAAGACTCGTAATCAGTGATTGGTGCGTTTCGATCCGTCTATTGTCACAGTTAAACAGTTGTCTGTTGTTAGTCAAATTGTCAGTTCTCCAGTTGTCCTCTCGTAGTTAGTTTTGCTTGATCTCGTCAATAAGTCGTTTGTACGGCGCTGGTAACTGTTGGCTACGATTCAGTGGCGTTTGTTCTAAATTAGTAAACCAGCTTTCTAAAGTAAGACGTTGATAGTAGTCTGTAGAATACGTTATAAATGTCGCAGAGTCCCAGTCAATTTGATGTTTCGTCTTTAAATGGTGCTCAGCAATGTGATTGTTGACGTCACCATTCCTCGTCGTGCGTTTGTGTTCGGTCAGTCGTGTGCTTAGGTTTCTGCCGGTTTCACCAATGTAAGAAGCCTAGCAGTCGCAGCATTTGATCTTGTATACTGCTCCCTGTCTGTCCTCCGGTTTGTCTTTGTCCTTGACATTAGTAAGCAGTCGCCGTAAAGTGGTGATCGGTTTGTGCGCAACACGTATATTGTAAGGTCGTAATATACGTGCAATAGTTTCAGAGGTGCCTCTGATGTACGGTATAGTCGCTGTCGTAACAGGGCCAGAGTTGGTCTGAGAGTTGGAATCAGTGTTACTGTGAGTGTTCCGTCTAACAAAGTCCGTGTTGTAATTGTTCTTACTAAAAACGTTGTGAAGATAATCAGTCTCGTCTTGTGGGCTGTCAGGTGAGTCGCAAACTAGTTGCGCTCGTCTCGTCAGAGTCCGGATAGTGGTAGCCTTGTGAGAGGTCGGGTTGTACGAAGACTGGTCTAGTAATCGGTCGGTATGTGTCTGTTTTCTGTAAATAGTCGTTTTTAGTTTGTTGTTCTCGCGAGTGACCAAGCAGTCTAGAAAAGGTATCTTAACATTTTCTTCGATCTCCTTGGTGAACTGTATGTCCGCGTTCTGTCTGTTAAGGTGTTCGTGAAAATCGTCGATTCCGTCTTTGTGTACGGCGGTGAATGTGTCGTCAACGTAACGTAACCAAAGAGGTACAGTTCGCGTGTAGGTAGCTAGGGCTTGTTCCTCGATGTTTTGCATGACAATTTCTGCTACAACAACAGAAACTGGAGAGCCCATAGCTGTACCGTGTAACTGTTTGTAGTGTTTGCCGTTGTACTGAAAGTACGTCGAAGTCAAACAGACCTTGAGTAGGTCCATAATGTCGTCTGTAGGTAGTGGTAGTTCAACAGTAGAGTTCCTAATAGCGTTCTCAGTACAGTCTAGAGCCAGTTGAAGTGGAATACTGGTGAACAGCGATTTCACGTCGAATAGCGTGCGAGCAAGCTCTCCATTTGGCGAGAGGCACGCGAGAGGAGACGCGACTGCGGCCGGCCCCTCGCGGCTTCGCGCGAGGGCTCGCTTCGCTCGCCCAAATAGGAGAGCTTGCTCGCAGGCTAACGTCAAAGGACACTAGTTTGTGGTCGTCTGGTATCTGTACTGTCTTAATGGCGTCAATAAAGTTCTCAGTAGACTGTAGTTTGTGTCTAGATTCGTCAGTCAGCGGTTTCAGTACGTTAGTTAAGTATTTAGACAGTTGGTAGGTTGGGGACCCACAGAAAGAAACTATGGGCCGCATAGGTATGTTGGGTTTGTGTAGTTTTGGTAGTCCATACAGCTTGGGTGGCTACGGAACACTACACCTCAGTCTGTTGTAGCGTCGAAAGTCGATCTTGTCGGTTTTCTTCAGTGTAAGCAGTTTGTTGTTAAGTTTGCGTTGCAGTGCGGGTGTCGGGTCTCGTTTAACTACTTCGTAGGTCTGTTTGTCGTTAACAAGCGAGTCCATTTTGTCGTTGTAGTCTGTCTTGTCCATAACAACAGTCACCCGTCCCTTGTCTGCGGGTAGTATGGCTATGTTCTCGTCTGTTAGATAAAAAGTCAATCCTATTTCTTTTATGAAAGTTGGCATTAAGAACTTTAATTCAGTTTAGTCACAGAGAGGATAAGGAGGTAAACACATGTTTCACAACCACCTGGGGGAGCGGGGGGAGACCCCCATATAAAAGTGCCAGGGATGCATAGACGTCTACATAAGAGCTAGGGATCTAAATATGTGCCGGGGATGTTGTGTTCTTTTTTATACACCATATTTCTGTGCGGTCAGTGACTTTCTTTATAAACAGGACTAAATGATACCTGAATGGGCAAGTAAAGTGACTTTCCATCTCAAACACGCTAAGTGACACCGAAATCTGCAATTTACCCCTTAAGCAAGACGGCAAGCATCCCCGTCATTTTTTATGTGAGAGTCCACTCCCCACCAGGTTTACGACATGTTTTTGAGAATTCTGATGATAATAACGACCTTGTGGCTTTCCATTCCTTCTTTTCTGAACCCCAGTGGCAACGTCCAATGCAACACGATAATTTATCTATCTTCAGCATACTCTTCCACCTTAATCTTGGCCTGGTGTTCATTATTGTCTTCTCTCTTCCCCTCTATGCTCCTGATGACTGCAAGATTGGTTTCTCCACAGGTTGGGGCAGAGGTTGGAACAAGCTTTTCAACTCTTTAGAAAAGGATAAATCAAATCATTATACTGTTTATTAATAAACCAGTGTTGATCAAAAGAGTTATGTTGGAAAGAAAATTAAGCCATTTTTTTTCAAATGCCATTGAAGGTCATTGTTGATCAAAAGGGTCATCTTCGAGATAAATTTAGGCTGTTTACTTCTTTCATTTGAAATTGATTTGAATTTATTATTTTTTCAATGCAGTCAAGATGAAGCAAATCCTGCTTTCTGATAGGCTATCAGAACTGGAACAATGCCGGGGCCTATATTGAGCACTCAGGATTTTCTGTGTTTGTCCCACAAGAGAAAGTTCTCTTTTTGGTGCTTCTTGTCTTTTTGGATCATTCTACATTTCCGGGAAACTGCCCACCTGCCCCTCTTCAGTGTTCCAGATAAGAGATAAATGTAGGTCTTGCGGTTCAATGGCCTGACAAAGAAGGCTTCCTGACCTGACAGATGACATAATATAAGTAAAGTTAAATATAATGAAAAAAATTAGTACATGGTCTTGTCAGTTTTGCAGCCTGCCATTCAGGCAAGCTGCAGTTAGCGTGTACTCAATCGAACCCAAAACCCTTTTTGATTAGCAGGATTGATTACAATTAATCCTTCTGTAATTTGAATTTGCCAAAAAAAAAAACACTTGCCTGTCAGGCAAGTTGAGAACAAAAATCACCAGCCCGATAGCAAAATTGACTAGCCCCGCGCTATCGGACATGACTTTCTTTGCATGCTGCTTGATGACCCCTCAGATTGTCTACATGACCCCCCCGCTTGAAAGAATTAACTGGAATGGTGCCTTCCCTAAGCCAATGTTAACTTTTACTTCTCACTTACATGTAGAGCAAAGTGTTGCCTTAGGGGAGGGGTAGGTGGGCAGTTTGCCAAAAACGTATAATGATCCGTCTTTTCCTTGGATCATTAAAATGCAAAAAAATATCCATCTTGACCTACATGTAATGCTTGGTAAATAAGCATATGTGTTACAGGTCAAAATTAAATTCAGGTTACAGAGTAATAATAACCTCAATAACCTCTCCCACACTCAAGGTAAAGGATTGAGAAACCAGTACTGAGAAAAGTCTAGGGAAATGTGAGACCTTAACTAATGCAATGTGGATTTCATAGCGGAGCTCCACGTGCGGTGCTGTGGAGCCCCATAGCTAAGGAAATGTGATTATCTACCCATCTGAGAAAATTTGGTAATCACGTGACCGTACACAGAGTGAGCGAGTGAGCGACTGTTCGTCCGCACCTCCATAAAAATAATGTGTAACTAGGACATTTGACGTTTTAGTCATACAAAACAGCGTTGAAGTCGTGAAAAACAACGGCAAGGGAAAGACAAAAAAGCGTGGGTGCTGCACATGCAAATTTGTTTTTAGCTAATTACAGCTGTAGACGAAAAAGTGTGCTGCACATACAATTTGTTTTTTTGCTAATTAGATCTATTAGTCTTGAAGCCATTTTCATTATCATCCCTGTTTAGCATTATACGATTTAAATTTTTTTGTTCACATGTATTATTAACCAGAGCTTCGCTTTTAGCCCTGGATAAATCTACATATTATGTTATTCAATCACCTGATTCTATCTGAGTGTTCAAACCAAAATCCTTGAAATTTACATTGTTTTGAATGTTCTCCAATATTAAACAGCACTCACACTTTTGCAGCTTGAACATTTTTCCCATCCTGGATGGTTTTTCACGTGATATTTAAGTTGAGCTTTAACCTGTCAGATATACATGGGAAACCTCCAATTAAATTTAAATTAACTGCAAGTATAATCATGGGGAACAAGGAACTGCTGATACAGGTATAAAACAACTTTGAGAGTGAGCACTGAAAAGAAGTGATAAATACATGTATCTCAACTAAAGAAAGTACAAAAGAAATGAATGATTGTGTGTGTAAAAATTTAAACAAAAAATAGCTATGTTATTAGCTCCAATCCTATAATTGCTTGAAAACTACAACAGCAGCCTTATTCAGGCTGTAATATCAATTTGCAATTTAATGTTTTATCAAAAAAATTTAAATTTGCATATGTTACGTGTAATTTGAAACCAGTTCTTAGCTGTTGTTCAAAACAAGCAACTTTAACAACAGCGAGTTTATTAATTTTGTCCCTCAGCACACAAAAACTCCAAGTTCTAGTCCAAGAGTTTTATTTCATTTAAGGTGGCTCGACTGGATTTTTTTAGGGGGATACCTCACAAGTTTGAGCATTAACTACGTCGGCATGAGTAAAGATATGGAAAAAAAGTTACCACAACTGTATTATATAAAGGTGAAAATTTCTATGATCTGGGTTTTATTGCAATCGGAGTCGCCATGGCAACGTAATGACGCCATTATGTTTTTCGTTTATCTTTCTGTTTCTCTATACCAGGAGTTTTTTGAAGAAATCGCTTAAGGGAGTACGTACCTGTCATAATTGCCTCCATCATGGCAAAGTTTAAAGAAATTCTGTAAGAGCGTTTTCAAAATATTTTGAAATGCAGTTTTAAGAAACATAAAAACAGTGAAATCGCATGCTAGCCACACAATTCGCTAATATTTTAAGAAAATGTTAAGCTTTGGGAACGCGGCTTCTTCTCATAGTGGTTTGATTCCATTGAAAACTGCACACAAAAAAAGAGGGGAATTGCTCTGGGCGATCGCGAGTAAGAAGGATTTTATTAACTTGCATTCAGCTGCTTTTGATACAGTTTTTGGACATAATTTGGTCCATGCCCAAAAATTTTGCATTTTTCCAAAAACCGCTCGAAAATTTTTTTAAAAAATTCGACAATTCCGAGATCAATCGTCAAGAAATATTCCCTGCAAGTTTTAAGAACATTGAAAACAGGGAAGGCTTTTAAATAGGGCCTCAAATATAGCCAATTTTCCTCCCAGACTTTGTGTTTACAAGCGAGCGTCCTCATTATTCATTGGCATTGTTTTCAAGTTTCATATACACGTGCACATTTAGCAAAAAGATAGAATTTGCATCAAAAAGGACCCTCGGTTAAATCTCCGGGATATGCTAATTACCGGGTAAAGAGATTAGTGATACATTATAACATCAGAGCAACTCTTTGTGAGAGTTTCTGTGATGTTATAACCCGAGTAAGATAATTAAGTATTGCATCCTACACGATGAGCCGTGACGTTCACCGTTTCGGCTCTCACTGCTATCTGTGACGACAAGCCAATTATTAGCATATTCCGGATATTTCTTCGGAAAGTAATCGAGAGTTCTTTTTTATGCAAATTTATATCTTTTGCTAGTTGTGCACGTGCATATGAAACTTGAAAACAACGCCGGTGAATAATTAGGACGGTCACTTGTAAACACAAAATCTGGGGGGGAAATTGGTTATGTTTGAGGCCCAATTTAAAAGCCTTCCCTGTTTTCAATGTTCTTGAAACTTGCAGGGAATATTTTTTGACGATTGATCTCGGGATTGTCGAATTTATAAAAAAATTTATCGAGCGGTTTTTGGAAAAATGCAAAATTTGTAGGCATGGACCAAATTACGAGCAAAAACTGTATCAAAAACAGCTGAATGCAAGTTAATAAAATTCTTCTTACTCGCGATTGCCCAGAGCAATTCCCCTCTTTTTTTGTATGCAGTTTTCAATGGAATCAAACCACTATGAGATGAAGCCGCGATTCCAAAGCTTATCATTTTCTTAAAATATTAGCGAATTGTGCGGCTAGCATGCTATTTCACTGCTTTGATGATTCTTAAAACTGCATTTCAAAATATTTCGAAAACGCTCTCATAGAATTTCTTTAAACTTTGCCATAATGGAGGCAATTATGGCAGGTACATACTCCCTTAAGCGATTTCTTCAAAAAACTCCTGGTACAGAGAAACACAAAGATAAATGAAAAACGTAATGGCGTCATTACGTTGCCATGGCGACTCCGATTGCAACAAAACAAAATCAAAAGAAGATCATAAGAAATTTTCATCTTTATATAATACAGTTGTGGTAACTTTTTTCCATATCTCTATTCTTGCCGACGTAGTTAATGCTCAAACTTGGGAGGTATCAACCCCAAAAAATCCAG